CTCCGGCTCCCGTGGAGAAGATGCCAGCAGTGTCCAACACCAGATTCGTTTTAAAATGTTCGTCAGTGCTGCTAAACCTGATTTCCATAGCTTGTGAAACTGTTGGTGCCAGCACTGTGCTATCGTTTGTTTGTACCTATAGGGGTGACCTAACAGGTTGCAGGTAGCTCATTGTTTATGCTACTTAAATGAAAGGGAGGTGTACCATAATGGATGCAATTAGAGAAGATCCCGGTTTCTGCAAGGTGCTTCAGCCTCTCTCAGGGTGGAGGTCAGCAGCTAATTCCTCCTCTGATGCTTCTACACTGTGCAGAGATAGCACTGTTAACCCCCTCGGCTGGTAGTGCCTGAGTATAAGTCAGTTCCATAGCAGACATGCTTCTAGACTTACCGCCTCCCAGGTGAATAAGATAACGAGGCCACTGCCAAGCCAAAGATGGCAGCCACCTGCTGACTGCTCGTTCTTGTCTTGTGGCTGGACCAACAGAGAAGTATGTTGAACATCTATGTGTATCTTATCTGTTTGTAAAATTCTCCCAAGGTTGGAGGTTCTGCAGTGTGCCTAGGTTTTTCAGGTGAATAACTAGCTCTGTGTTAAGAAATCTTTTCCTATTGCCACACATGGAAGGTATTTTATTATCTTGTATTTGTTTATAAATTACAAATTGTGTTGGTTTGGTGAGGTGGGCAAAGCTATTCAATCCCAGCAATTTTGTGGTATTTTCTTGAGTTTCACTGGAAATATTTGGCTTTGCTTGTTGCCAAATACAGAAAAATCACCAGCTCTGAGCGTGTGAAGTATATGTATACAGTCATTCTGGCAACCTATTAATTGCAGATGGTCTGGTTGGTTTGGAACAGAATGCCTAGCATTTGTTGAGGGGACAGATGGCAGACAAGCCACCTAGTTATATCAACTGTTGTGGTGGGTTGACCCTGGCTGGATGCCAGGTGCCCACCAAAGCCGCTCTATCACCCCTCTCCTCAGCTGGACAAGAGAGAGAAAATATAATGAAAGGCTTGTGGGTCGAGATAAGGGCAGGGAGAGATCACTCGCCAATTACCATCATGGGCAAAACAGACTGGACTTGGGGAAATTAGTTTAACTTATTGCCAATCAAATCAGAGTAGGGTAACGAGAAGTAAAACCAAATCTTAAAACACCTTCCCCCTTACCCCTCCCTTCTTCCTGGGTGCAGCTTTACTCCTGATTTTCTCTACCTCCTCCCCCCAAGCGGCGTAGGGGAATGGGGGTTGCGGTCAGTTCATCACATGTTGTTTCTGCTGCTCCTTCCTCCTCAGGGGGAGGACTCCTCACACTCTTCCCCTGCTCCAGCATGGGGTCCCTCCCGTGGGAGACAGTCCTCCATGAACTTCTCCAACGTGAGCCATTACCACAGGCTACAGTTCTTCATGAACTGCTCCAGCATGTGTCCCTTCCATGGGGTGCAGTCCTTCAGGGGGGTGGGTGCCCCACAGGTCCTGCCAGGAGCCTGCTCCAGCGCGGGCTTCCCACGGGGTCACGGCCTCCTTTGGGCATCCACCTGCTCCAGCGTGGGGTCCTCCATGGGCTGCAGGTGGATATCTGCTCCACCGTTAACCACCATGGGCTGCAGGGGCACAGCCTGCCTCACCATGGTCTTCAACACGGGCTGCAGGGGAATCTGCTCCAGCACCTGGAGCACCTCCTCCCCCTCCTTCTTCGCTGACCTTGGTGTCTGAGAGTTGTTTCTCTCACATATTCTGACTCCTCTCATTGGCTGCAGTAGCAGGGCTTTTTTCCCCCTTCTTAAATACGTTATCCCAGAGGTGCTGCCACTGTCACTGATTGGCTTGGCCTTGGCCAGCAGCGGGTCCATCTTGGAAGCTGGCTGGCACTGGCTCTATCAGACACGGGAAGCTTCTAGCAGCTTCTCACAGAAGCCACCCCTGTAGCCCCCCACTGCTACCAAAACCTTGCCACGCAAACTCAGTACAACTGTATAGTGAAATTGCAGCAAAAGGAGTGTTCAACGGCAGTGTAAAAATTTCTGAACAAAAGCTTTATCTAAGTACTTCTTGAAAATTGCCTTAAACATGGAAGAAAAAATGTGATTTGGGTATCTGTTTTCCAGGTGTGTTTCCTTCTCCTGAAGTGTCCTTGTTTGGTATTCTTTAAATATTAATTAAGACTTTTCTTACTGACTGGTTGTTTTTAATCTTGTTCAGTACTTTTTAGGCTATCATAGTCCAGTTACCATCTTTGGGTACAATGTTTCTTTGTCAATAATTTACTTAGCTCTTTCTTAAGAGGCTAAAGTTCAACACAACCTTTTAATAACTAAATTATTGGAAAAAAACATAACCAAGGACTGATAAAACTGAGGCAAAGCTTCTTGCAGTTTAAGATGAAAATCAGTTATTTGTGTTTTGTTGTTTTCCTCAGCCTTTAGGTTTCACTCCTTCTGTTAAACAGGTAGCTACACAAAACATTTACTACCACTGCTATGGCTTGGTACACTGTTTCCTTTTAAAATTTGAGAGTCACCATTGAGACCTTAATTTCCTTTTCTTCTTACTACCCTTTCTGCAAAATGACTCTTCCACACCTTATCCCCTAATAGTAATTTGTTCAGTCTGCTTTCACGTAATGTGGAGGTTATACCTGTAATCTGCGCTAATCTACTCTTGATATGTGACGTGTGTGAATCAGAAGCTCAACGTTAGGGATCTAAATTATCCATGTAATCAGTGGAGCGTAGTAGCGAACAGTGCATAAATACCCTACTTTATTGGCAAGAGACCTCTGTATGCTTTGGCTTTACTTTTTTAATATATTCTCTGTCTTTTCTACCCATGTGAAATTATGCTTCAGATGTCTACTACTTTTATTAGTATTTTAGTGAAGAAACGGGACCATATGTTTGGGTAAATTCTGTCTTCTCCACCATTTCTCCCAAAAAGTCGTGGGTTTTTTTGTTTTGGTTTGGGGTGGGTGTTTTTTTTTGTCCCAAGTATGCAGTAGCATGCTGTGCAAAAAGTTTCTGTGAAAGAGGTAGAGCACTTTTTTAAAGTAACTAAACAAGTGATAGTACCATCAGCTTAACTAGTTGAGAAGTGTCTCTGTTTTGAACCTGTCTTTTGCTAGTTTTAGCTGATGGTTCCAAAACCTTCATCTGGAAGAGGCAGATAACCAGCATTGCATACTCGCGTTCTCAGTTCCACGTGTGATTTTATGTTCCTCTGTTATGCCTCCCTCACCAATCTTTTGCAAACTTTTAAAGTTTATTCAGTTGCTTCTCATGTTTTTTATTTTGTTCTGTTTTCTATTCTTTTCCTATCACTGCTTTTTTGCCGTTACTGAATGTTGAGGTGACTTTTCTTTGTAGCGCTTGCTAGAACTATTGTTGTTTATATGAAGTCAGTGGTGGTGTTTTTCCCATGTGCACTATCCTGCACTTTTCTGCACTGAAGATCATCTGCTTTCTTGAACAGCCACTGTGCAATGAAGTCTCTCCCCAGTTCTTCACAACCGGGCCTTATTTTCATACTTCCAGATGGCTTCGTTTTAGCAAATTTCACTTCCTTGCTATTCATTTGCTGTTACAGATTGTTTTGAATTTGTTGAACAGTATAGGTCCCAGTACGGATTCAGGTGGGATCTGTGTGTCTTGTCCATTTCTTTTTTTCTTACCAGTTTTTTATGCATGTGAGGACTTTCATATTTCAAGACAGCTTGGCTTCCTTAAGAGTCTTTGGTGAGTAACTGTCAGATACCTCTTGGAGATTCAAGTAGATGATATCAAGTGGATTTCCCTTGTCCATATAAAAGCTGTCAATTACTCTTTCTGAAGAATCAGTAAGTGCAGTAGTTATTGTCTTTGTTACAGTTTCCATTAACTTGCCTCTACAGATGCCAGTTTTGCAGTCAGTAGTTACCAGATTGCTCCAGAAACCCTTTTAAATGTAGGTATGATACTGGCCATCTTCCTGCTCCTCTTGTGCAAAGGCAGTTCTAAGCAAGAGCTAACTCCCCAGGGGTTAGCTGGTTTTTACTTTTGAGTTCTGTGGATGCCACCTAATCTGAGTGGTTTGTTATTGTTCATGTCTATTTGTTGAATCATCTACTGCTATTTTGGTTTGAGACAGATCTGATGCACTGTTTGTAAGGAAGAATTCTGGCATTAGATTTTCACAAGTTCCTCCACAATAAACATGGATATAAAAATTTACATTGTTTTTCTGCTCTGCCTTTATCTTTGGGTGCCTCTTGCATGTCTGGAACATCTTTTAGCTTTAGTGAGTGTCTGGCAGGCTACCTGCACCTAATGCCTTTAAAAAGGGCTTTATTAGTTTTCAGATTTATGCTATTTCCAATTGTTCTTCGCTTTGTTTAGCTTGACTTCTTGGGCTTCTGTATCTAACCTTCCAGTTAGAAGGTTTAGAAGAATCTTTCCTATTTTCTCTATTTGGATGCTTTAGCTTTTTGAAGGATGCTGTTCTGCTCTTACTAGCATCCTTATGGCTGCTGTTTATCTTGTTTAGTCAGCCTGAATTCTTTCTGGTCTTTCTGAAGTTCTTAGTAAATGCTGTGCATATGGTCTGAGCCTCTGGGATAGTGTCTTTGAATAGTTTCCATGCTGTCTTCAAGGATTTTTGCGCTTTTTAAAAGCATCGTAATTACATATCATTCACCTTCCTTTGAAATTAAATACAACAAGTTGATTTCTTATTTTTTCTTGCTTTCACATGAGTGTTGGATCTTGGCACATTATGATTACTATTCTAAAGCTCTTCGACAGTAATATTTTTGAGCACTGATCAGAGCTGCTTCCCAGCTAGCATATTCCATTCCCAATATTGTCTCCAACTCTCATATGAATTAGGCAAATTTTTATGTGGGTTTTGAGCAACTTTCTGTGACTTCACCTTGTCATTATGCAAGCCACCCCCCTTCACACCTACAGTCTTGGGCTGTAAAGTTTCTGTAATGAGTTTACATGTTAAATTTGGGGGTGGGCATAAAGGCATGACTAGAGTTTTAGCATTCTGTAGCCCTCAGTACAAATAAACTGTATCTGAGGGGGCATTTCCTACCTTGATAGTTATCTAAGAAGTTTAAAAAGTGTATCTTTTAAAAATAGTAGCACTGCCTAATTTGTTTGAAAAACTATATTCTGTCACTGTTTCTACTGACATTATCTCTGTAGTTTAGGCTCACTGTACATCATTTCTACAATAATTACTCTTTTAAAGGGTTTTATTTTCTCTCTGAAAAATGCATTTTGATACCTGTTTTGAAGGGTTTTTTTCCCCAATGCATAAAATTGCACCTTTCATAATAGCTTGCCTTGGTCATTCAGCAGAACCCTCAACAGCCATACCTTTGGTAGTCTCTCAGGTACACGTGGAAAATATAGCTGAAAGGAATGCATATTTAATTAGATTGAAATCTTTTGTATTTGGACATACAGACAATAATGATGGTGTTTTTGAAGCCATAATAATTGATAATGTTTTAATATTAAACAAGGAATTACTAAGGATTTAGTGCAAGTCCTTTATAGTTTTTTAAGCTATTCCAGGATTGAGAGGAATGAAAACAAATTCCTTTAAAGGTAAACTGCAAAACAATTGCAAGGAAAAAGTTTTTGCCTTTTGTATTGTTTATGATGTATAAATATTGCCTTCACTTAGAAGATTCCATTTTCTTCCTGCCTATAGCTTCTTTAGAAAACCAAGGTTGTGCTTCTTGTCCAATTTTACCTAGAAAAAGAGTCACAGGCACACTTTGTAGGCAGAGACAGCTCAGGGCGGGGAACCGTGTACCTATTTCTGCTATTTTGTGATCTTTCAGAGAAGTGAAATTAATTCCCCTGGCAAACCCAACGTGAGAATGAGGGCATTTTTTTATATTTATTACTGCTCATTGTATACTGAGCAAGCACTAGGCATGTGTCCACGTCCATTCTCCTCTGATACAATAGTGTGCATAGAGAGACTGTGGACAGAAGTAACTTTTCATAACTAATTTGTTTCCATGAAATGCTGTAGAGTGTAGAGGAAGAAGAAAACCAATGTACTGTTGAAACCAACCAACGTACTTTTAAAAAATCCCACCAGGGAAATACTGGAAATCCCACCAGTACTACCTGGCTGTCAGCAGCCAGCTTGCAGTGGTTTATATGAGCAATCTCTATATATGTGTTTGTGATCCTTGGAGAGGGGGGAAGAAAAGGGAGGAGAAATTAGGAGAAGCAAAAGAGGAAGAAATAAAGGCACGGCAAGATATTAGCTATTGTCCTCTAGAAATTGTGAGGTTCAGCTTAAATCCCATCTAGATCCTTGAAGTGTCTTTTTCTATGTGATCACAATACATGGCTGAGGTTTTTTCTTGTGAACTGCTGCTGACTACTTTAGCCCCTCACAGAATTAATCCTTAGATAAAATTAGAAGCTGGTACCATTTAGTATGCTACTAAAAATATATTGCATTGATCCTCTCTCTGTATTTTGGCATGCATGGGAGCAGAAAAAGAGTGGGAAGCTATCGAAACTGAGGCATAACAACATGTTCTGAAGTTGGACTTCTTCCGTGGCAATCAGCTATGCAGCTTTTAAGGAGGCCTGGGAACAAAACGGATTTGGAATAGGAGTTTTGTGTGGCTCAATGTGTAAGAGCAGCTCCACAGACATTATTTGTCCTTCAGAAATGGAAACCATATGTACATCAGTTACCTGAGAAATCTGCTGACTTTTGTCTGGCATTTGTGTTTTCTTATTGCTGTGGTAAATTCAGAAAGTTGCAAACAGCCTCTATGCTCGTAGGGATGAAGAGCCAATTTGGAGGCATTCTCAGCTCAATTTTGCGATGCAAGGGAGAAGGAAGAAAAAATTTTTTATTAATTGAATCCTAATCTTCTATTTCTTACCTAACATGCACTTTGTCTGATACAACTACATAGCTTATCTAAAGGCTTGAAAATTGAAACTCCTAGCGAGAAGGATGCCTTTGATGTCATTCCCGTGAAAGTCGTTGCTTGCTACGTTTGAAGGGAAGAAGGAACTGTACATGCTATTTAATTGAAACCTTATGGGGTAACATCTAGGACCTGGATCATGACTAGATGATCACTGCAAAAACAGCTGTTCCCCCTCCCACCACTTGTGCCCAATACTGTTTGTTACTAACCCTCTGCCAGACTTTGGCATTCCCCTAGCATAGCAACAGAATGATTTGTCTGAGCACTCTTCTTGTAATTCAGTGCAAAGTCCAAAAAAATGGTTCAAACGATTTTTTGTGTGCCTGACTTACTGCTTAAGCAGGTGACGTTCGTTTGCACGGCCTGCAGTACCTGTTCTGCTTGAGGGTGCTAGGAAGCAGCTGGTGAGGGAGAGAAGTAGGGTACAGAAGTTTTGTTAATAATTATCTGAACACAGTCCATTGATAAATCATTTAATTATTAGGCAAAAGACTTCTGGATCCATCTATGGTAGCGGAAGATGCTTTTACGTTCTGTTTCTCATTGCTACCCTCTTACCATATTGTTCTGTTGCAAGAGCACTCGTGCAGGCATGCTCCTGGAGTTTTAAGCAAAATTAGCCAAATTGCACTAGTTGCAACACTTTAAACTATAGCTGGACTGATGTTATGCCTTGCACAGATAAGGAAAAACTTGCGTGAACTCCTCTGCAGACAGACCAGTGAGGGCAATTAAGAGTTATTTCCTGGACGATCTGAATTCAGAATAGGCTTAAGAGTTGTTGCAGGTGCAAGTTTGCACCAGTGGTGTTGTACCAATACAACTCTCTTCATGATATTCTGTTTTTATTTATAGTACTTTATAGTAATTGAAACACATTCCTTATAAACAAAAACTTAAGATGTAAGTTTAAACTGACTGTCCATATATTATTTTCTTCCCATACATTCTTTTGTTTTGTGGGGAACAAAATCAGGAAGTACTAAATTAAATCAGTAAGTATCACTTGATAAGTAATAAGCTACCAGAATTTGGTTTAAGTACTAGGTTTATTTGTTTTTAAATAGGGTTTCTAGTTGGAGTAATCAAATAACAAGACAAAGGTGGAAAATATTTATTCAACCTTACTGTTATTTTTTGTAACTATTTGATAAATTATCAAATACCACAAAAATGGTATTGTAGTGGTACACTTCAGTCAAGAGTTGACTGAATTATTTGATTAAGACCAGTTAATTAAACTAACATTTTAAGTAAATGTTATTCATGTCGCCCAGATTCATGGATCTTTTCTGTTGTCCTTGCTTCGCTTTCTTCATTTTATCTTTTTCTTTCCTAGAGGAGAATATAGCATATACCTCTGCATCATTTTCCGTTCCTTTCTCTTTTCACCTCCTATCTCTTTCCTTTTCTCCCCACTCTTCTTCACTTCCACCCCTGCATCTTCTGTTTCTCCTTTCTTCTGCCACTTCTTGAACTTCTCTTTTCAAATTCATCTTATCAGTGTCTCTCTCTCTGCCTCACATGACCATCACTCACCCACTCAAACCAGAGCATCTGTGCACAGTCTTGGAAACATTCAGGTACTTAAAACCTAGAGAGCTACTGTATTGACATGAATTTAAGGCAGGGAAAAAAAAAATCCATGAAGCGTATATTAGAATAGTCCCTGGTCTGGCCTTGCAACCTGTTTTGCATCAGCTCTGCATGCTCCCTGACAGTGCATTGTCTGCTTGCCAGGCTTCTCTCTGTTCCAGCATTATATGTGAAGCTCCTTGCTACCTGGGACCTGGTCCAGTCCTGCTGCCTGTGCCAGCCAGCCTGCCTGACAGCTACCTGGCTGCCTTTGGCCACCAGGCACTATCCCCGGGGATCTGGAAAGGGAAACACAATATGTCCATAAGTGAAATACAGTCTTTTAAAACAAAGACTAGCCGTCTTTTCTAAGTATTTCCTGTAAAAATAAATAGATAAATGTCTCTATATTTTACTTAGGCTACTGTGGTAGAAATTACTGGCTTCAGATTAATCAATACAAAACAAGTAGATTTTGCTCAGCATTGATTATCAATACTGTCTACTGAGTTGCTGGAAGAGGGACAGGTGTTAAAAATCCTGCCACGTTGTTCAAAGATTTGAGCTTTTTTTCCCATTTAATGAGTTTGAGGTTTGTGCCACTCCTCCAAAACAAGTTCCTGTTTCAGACTTTCCCTTTTTTCAGTTTTATTTTGTATGGGTCATAAAGGATTTCGGATGCAAGCTTCCTTAACTGTTTTTTTCTATAGCTTTCCACTTACAAAATCTGTAAGTTGATTTCTCTGCACAAACAATGCCTTTGATGCAGCATATAAGCTGTTTTTTATGGCAGTCATATTTTGCCATGCAAGACATAAAATAAAAACCTAAATTATTTTGTGTCATTCGGCTTCTATTGCAAACTCATGGATAGATGGATCATTTCACTTCTCTGAATAAGTGTGCTGGTTTTGACTGGGATAGAGTTAATTTTTTCCATACTGGCTTGTATGTTTTAGATTTATGCTGAAAACAGTATTGATAACACAGGGATGTTTTCGTTATTGCTGAGCAGTGCTTACACAGAGTCAAGG